GAATCAAGGATTGTTGTGGTAATATTGTTGCTGTTGATACACGAGCCATTATTCAAAGAGGCAGCTAAAAATTACTTTTAGATAGATGGGTCGTTCCACCCATATCCGGTTTTGTTGTGGACATCTAGAAAATCCCTAGAGTTTGTTTAGATATATTCTTGGTTCTATGCCAAACCTTTGGGGATATTTACCAACTGATCAAACGTAAATGGAAAACATAACACTTGGTTTTTTTTTTACTTTTCTTATTTTTACAATATTAACGGAGAAAATCTTTCTTATCCTCTCTTTTTAAACTCCTACAACTATAAACTTTGGTACATTTGATTCAGACCTAGTTTATTTTTTCCAATCGAAATTGGGGATCTTTAGATCTTTGGGTATCTTAGTGGGTCTTTCGGTATAACTAGAATACATAATTTGGACTGTTCTTATTTAAATTTTGGAAAAACTGTTTAAGCGTTTTCATTTGAAAAGCTTCAAAACTGAACGAGAAGGACTTTGCTGTTCAAATGTAGATTAGTAAATAGGAAGAATTTTTTAACGAGGTTGACATTACCACTGGAGCCATTGCGTTTTTTTTTTTATCTGTATCTACACTCAGAGAAAACGATATGGCGACCGAAGACGAGGAGTTTGACGAAGGAGTATTCGATAATGACGAAGATGACGTAGGAGCAATAGAAAGGTCAGCTGACCCCCGACGCATTACACGCCGAATTAGACGCATTCGTTGTCGTAGAGCTGGCCGCATTCCTCGTTTTCGTCGTAGAGCTCGCCGCGTTCGCGGTAGAATACACGGTTAACGAAGACCATACCAGTGATGGAATGAACAATGGATGGGTAAAGGTGAATGGCCAAAAAAGATAAGAAATAACACTTTCAGCTCCTGATTGTTATGCAAATTCTCCTTTTCAGCTTCATGGGAATGCATAGAGAAGAGTATGAGGAAAATACATACTGATGATAGGCGGTAGATGGTTATGAGTGACCCTCATTAGTACTTATGTTTTATTTTTCTCTTCCCTGGCAGGTCTTGATGAATACTCAGCCTAAAATGACATGGTAAACTTGGGACTATGATATAACTAACAACTTTCGATACTTCTAGAAGTAACTTAACTTTCTCAGTGCATTCGACAACTGTTATGAAATCACTTGCAAGCTTCCCGTAAGAAAAATAACTAGGGGTGGGGTGGGGGTCACTTCCTAGAAAGAGGCTGATGGTGACGTGCCACTGGATGGGGTTCCATTTTCACGACTAGATTGATTATAATGGGGTTGCATTTTGAACAGAGTAACTAGAATACGGTCCCTCATTTCGAGAGTTCGGGGGTAAGAAAATTCTCGTAAGTAGGGATTTAAAAATGGGGTTGCGGCTAAAATGTTGTGATGTTAGCCCAAAAGTGACTTGGCCACAGAACAGGCTGTAACGTTAGTGATCATGGTTGCTTTCAACCTTTCGTTCATGGAAAATGAGATGTTCTACCGTTAAGAATTAGCATGTTTCTTTAATAGTTGCATAATTCAAAGGAAACACGAGAGAAAAATTATGATTGGCATCACTTTAATCTAACTTTTGTTACCGTATTTCCTCAAACAAGTGCACACGCTCTAATAATCGCCCTCCTCCGAATTAACACCCACCCCCTGGACCATAATGTCAAAAAAGTGCCCTCTTCCTCTCTGAATTTTTTAACTAGTGGAGATGCAAGGAAAACTTGTTTCTGTTACCACGTTATTTACAACTTTTTATGCTTCATCTGCATCGGAATCAGTACAGGAGAATAGCATATTTTTCATTAAGTCAGTTCAAGTTATTTCTATCTTCATATGCATGCCGCTCTTAATTTTTTTTTTTTAACTACTGCTTCCATAAGGAGGCGAAGTTACAGACAAAGTCGAATTTAAGAGTCAGTCTGCGACTGCGAGGGTAAAAATAGATCACCGAACCTTACACGATTTTGACCCGAGGTTACTTATCTTCTGTTTCGGAGTATCTTCGGTGTTTGACATTCACACTAGAGATTATCATTATCATCTAGAGAAAGATGATTGCCTTTTGAAACAAATTATTTTTTAGAAAAATATGTTTTTCGTCTTGTTACGAGCGTGGGACAAACAAAAAATTCTGAGTCCGCAGGAATCAAACCTCAGACTTTTGGATTCCGCGTCCGATGCTCTACCACTGATTTACAAAGACTCAACCGTGAGCGAGGTCTATTACGAAGTTCATATGACACGCACCCTGCATACTGCTAGGATCAGCAATGCCGATAGCGTCATATTTCTAACTTGAAAATAGAGATAGGAAGTTTTGAGCTCGGTAAAGAAATGGTGTAAGATTTTTTTCGTCTTGTCACGAGCGTGGGACAAAGAAAAAGTTCTGAGTCCCCATGAGGAATCGAGCCCCAGACCTTCGGATTTTTTTTTTTCTTTTCAGGAAAATTAAGGAAAATAGTTTAACCAAAGGGCATTTGTTTGCAAATGCATCCTACTTACACAGTGGATTTCAGTAGAATTTTTTTACTGAACAACCCAGTCACGAAAGAAAGCAGAAAAAGGCTGTGTCGGAGCCCCTAAGTGCCCGACATTTGATAGCCTAACAAAACGCTTTTGAAATTTGTCATTAAAAATACTCTACATTCCACCTAGGACGCCGCCATTTGAGTCTTATTACTTCCTCTTTCATTTCTTGGCAATCTTTTTGAGCATTATGTAGTTAAGCAAAAGGGCATTTTTGACTCGAAAAAAGATTTATTTGCGTTAACAAGAATTGTAGCTGTTTTTGTACCGTTTAGGTTTTCGTCAACGGCTAGGTAACTAAGTTCTCTTCAAAATGGCGGCATCTATGTTCGAATTATTACCACATTTAATAACAATTTTTGAACGGTTAGAATACTTTTGGAATCTCAACACGCTGTTAGTAGGGTTCTACTGCAACAAATCTAAACTCGCATCAGGGTCAAAGTCAAACTATCCTTAGTTATAACTTGGTTGGAAAAAGTGCGATTCGTGCAAACATCGAGGAGTTGTTCAAAATGGCGGATGTGAGTAAAGTTTGAAAGCAGCAACAAAGAGGAGTTGCTAACAACACAGCTATATATTGCGATCCCTTATATGGTACTTGATAAAAGTATTGTAGAAGATTTTTCATCAAATTGTAGGAAAAAAGTGCACGAAAGTAAAATTGCAAATATTGGTTATCTAAGTGGTATACTAAACCACTGTAAACGTACGAATGTAATGTACTTGAACTGCAGATAAATATATGAAGATGGTAATCGCAGTTAAGAACACTTTTAAAGCAGTAATGAAAATTCAGCCGAAATAGAAAAAAAATTAAGCTATATAGGATTTGAACCCATGACCTCTGCGATACCGTTATAGTGCTTTACCAACTGAGCTAACAAGCCAACATTTTAGTGGTTCGTTAAAAACACGTAGTGAAAAAATTGCATTCTCACGAATGAACGAATTGTTGTTTTATTTCAGAGTAGTTAACACTCTATTTCCCAGTTGTCAATTCAATTTGTTCCTTTCCAATCCGTGTTTACAAAACAAATCTGCTCAAATCTTTAACAAGCCGCTCGCCTTAGATGCCTAAAGAAAACAAGCAGAACTGACGAATAGACGACTAAAATAAAATCAAAGGGTTTTAAAACCATTCAACTTTTCAAAGCTGCATAGTTGAACGAACTAAAACGTACATTGCAGAATGGATGGTTTTTTTCTTAAAATTATTTTTACACCAAAACTATATGATTGTAAATATTACCAAACTATATAGTTTACCGGAAAAAAATCATTATAGGACAGACCCAAGTGCGTTCTTTAGTCGACTTTTTTTTTTTTACAGATTCTTGAAGGTCAACCTTCCATGATCAGATATCGGATGAATTGAGAATTGAGGATCGGAAAGAAAAAACTAGAATGAATGACTGTAAACATATGAATATCATATGTAAGTGGCAGACTGAAACAATTTCGATCTTTCCAAATCCTCTCGTACATATTGCATCACTGGTTATCCAGCTAGGCAGAACACAGTAGTGAGTACTATAATTCATACAATTATAGCTTTTCATTACCATATTGTTATCTAGTAACAATCATTTATTTCCACGCGTACGTTCAAACGAGCCCTGAGTCCCTCGGTGTCATGTGCTCGAATCAAGTATTGTTGTGGTAATATTGTTGCTGTTGATACACGAGCCATTATTCTAAGAGGCAGCTAAAATTACTTGGAGATAGATGGGCCTTTCCACCCATATCCAGTTTTGCCTTGGACACGTAGAAGTTTCCGAGAATTTATTTAGATATATTCTTGGTTCTATGCCAAACCTTTGGGGATATTTACTAACTGATCAAACGTCAATGAGAAAACATACGACTTGTTTTTTTTTACTGCTCTTATTTTTACAATATCAATGGAGAAAATCTTTCCCATCTTCTCTTTTTAAACTCCTACAACTATAAACTTTAGTACATTTGATTCAGACCTAGTTATTTTTTCAATCGAAATTGGGGATCTTTAGACCTTTGGGTATCTTAGAGGGTCTTTCAGTATAACTAGAATACATAGTTTGGACTGTTCGCATTTAAATTTTTGGAAAACCTGTTTAAGCGTTTTTATTTGAAAAGCTTCAAAACTGAACGAGAAGGACTTTGCTGTTGACATATAAGTAAGTGAGTAAGGAGAATTTTTTAACGAGGTTAACATTACTACTGGAGCCATAGAGATTGTTTATCTATATCTAAACTCAAAGAAAACGATGTAGCGACCGAAGACGAGGAGTTTGACGAAGGAGTATTCGATAATGACGAAGATGACGTGGGAGCAGTAGAAAAGTTAGCTGACCCCCGACGCATTACACGCCGAATTAGACTGCCCAAACGCATTCGTCGTCGTAGAGCTGGCTGCGTTCCTCGTTTCTGTCGTAGAGCTCGTCGCGTTCGCGGTAGAATACACGGTTAACGAAGACCATATCAGTGATGGAATGAACAATGGATGGGTAAAGTGAGTGGCCTAAAAAGATAAGAATTAAGACGTGCAGCTCCTGATTGTTATACAAATTCTCCTTTCAGGTTCATGGGAATGCATAGAGAAGAGTATGAGGAAAATACATACTGATGATAGGCGGTAGATGGTTAAGAGTGAGCCTCATCAGTGCTTATGTTTGATTTTTCTCTTCCCTAGCAGGTCTTGATGAATACTCAGCTTGAAATGACATGGCAAACTTGGGACTATGATATAACAACTCTGGATACTTCTAGAAGTACTTATGTAATTAAAACTCCCCAGCTTCCATTTAATTATAGTGGGAAGTAATGCAGAAATAGTGAAAGAAAAGTTGATTTGCGTTAACTTCATGTCAATAAAAATGAACCAAAGTCTGCAAAAAAACGCGTTTTTTTTGTTTTTGTTTTTCTTTGATTTTTCCTTCAGTTTGATTTTCTTCTTGGATTGCCGTCGAGGTAGATTTTTCTGTTTTTTCTCATTGTTGATTTGGTTTTCAATGACAACATCCAACCCTGTTTCTAGTCCATCAAAAATTGCTGCACTGGTCATCGATTACAGCTTTTAGAATGAAAACACCGTTTTCCTCAACTTTCTCAATGCATTCGACAAATGTTCTGAAATCACTTGCAAGCTTCCCGTAAGAAAAATAACTGGGGGTTGGGGCGGGGTCACTTCCTAGAAAGAGGCTGATGATGACATGCCACTGGATGGGGTTGCATTTTCAACAGAGTTACTAAAATACAGTCCCTCATTTTCGGGAGTCTGGGGGTGAGAAAATTCTCGTAAGTAGGGATTTAAAAATGGGGTTGCGGCTAAAATGTTGTGACGTTTGCCCAAAAGTGACTTAGACAGGACTTATAATTGGCCACAGAATAGGCTGTAATGTTAATGATCATGGTTGCTTTCAACCCTTCGTTCATGGAAATGAGTTGGTCTACCGCTAAGGTTTAGCGTGTTTCTTTAATAGTTGCATAATTCAAAGGAAACACGGGAGAAAAATTATGATTGGCATCACTTTAATCTAACTTTTGTTACCGTATTTCCTAAAACAAGCGCACACGCTCTAATAATCGCCCTCCTCCGAATTAACACCAACCCCCTGGACCATAATGTCAAACAAGTGCCCCCTTCCAATAAGAAAACCTCCTTCCTCTCTCACTTTTTCAAACTAGTGGAGATGCAAAACTTGTTTCTGTTACCACGTTATTTACAACTTTTTATGCTTCATCTGCATCGGAATCAGTACAGGAGAATAGCATATTTCCCATTAAGTCAGTTCAAGTTATTTCTATCTCCATATACATGCTGTTCTTTAAATTTATTTATGACTACTGCCTCCATGAAGAAGCGAAGTTACAGAAAAAATCGAATGTAAGAGTCAGTCTGTGAGGGTAAAAATAGATTACCGAACCTTACCCGATTTTGACTCGAGGTTACATATCGTCTGTTTCGGAGTATCTTCGGAGTTCAACATTCACACTATAGATTATCATTATCATCTAGAGAAAGACGATTGCCTTTTGAAACAAATTATTTTTTTAGAAAAAGATGTTTTTCGTCTTGTCACGAGCGTAACAAACAAAAACTTCTGAGTCCCCAGGAATCGAACCTCAGACTTTTGGATTTCGCGCTCCGATGCTCTACCACTGAGTTACAAAGACTCAACGGTGAGCGAGGTCTTTTATGAAGTTCATGTGACACGCACCCTGCATACTGCAATGTCGATAGCGTCATATTTGTAACTAGAAATAGAGATGGGAAGTTTTGAGCTCGGTAAAGAAATGGTGTAAGATTTTTTTCGTCTTGTCACGAGCGTGGGACAAAGAAAAAGTTCTGAGTCCTCATGAGGAATCGAGCCCCAGACCGATCGGATTTTTTTTTTTTCTTTTCAGGAAAATTCAGGAAAATAGTTTAACCAAAGGGCATTTTGTTGGAAATGCATTCTACTTACGCTTTGGATTCCAGTAGAATTTTTCTTACTGGACAACCAAGTCACAAAAGAAAGCAGAAAAAGGCTGTGTCGGAGCCCCTTAGTGCCCGACATTTGATAGCTTAACAAAACGCTTTTGAAATTTGTCTTTAAAAATACTCTACATTCCACCTAGGACGCCGCCATTTGAGTCTTATTACTTCCTCTTTCATTTCTTGGCAATCTTTTTTAACATTATGTAGTTAAACAAAAGGGCTTTTTTGACTCACAAAAAGATTTCTTTGCGTTAACAAAAGTTGTAGCTGTTTTTGTACCGTTTAGGTTTCCGTCAACGGCTAGGTAACTAAGTTCTCTTCAAAATGGCGGCATCTATGTTCGAATTATTACCACATTTGGTAACAATTTTTGAACGGTTAGAATACCTTTGGAATCTCAACACGCTGTTGGTTGAGTTCTACTGCAACAAATCTAAACTCGCATCAGGGTATTCTAATACAAAGTTAAACTGTCCTTAGCTATTACTTGGTTGGAAAAAGTGCGATTCGAGCAAACATCGAGGAGTTGTTCAAACTGGCGGATGTGAGTAAAGTGTGAAAGCAGCAACTAAGAGGAGTTGCTAACAACACAGTTATATATTGCTATCCCTTATATGGTACTTGATAAAAGTAATCGAGAAGATTTTTCATCAGATTGTAGGAAAAAATGCACGAAAATAAAAGAGTAAATATTGGTTATCTAGGTGGTATACATAACCAATGTAAACGTATGAATGTCATGTATTTGAACTGCAGATCAATAGATGAAGATGATCATCGCAGTTAAGGACACTTTTAAAGCAGGAATGAAAATTCAGCCGAAATAGAAAAAAATAGTAAGCTATACAGGATTTGAACCCATGACCTTTGCGATACCGGTTTCGTGCTTTACCAACTGAGCTAACAAGCCAACATTATGGTGGCTCGTTATAAACACGTAGTGAAAAAATTGCATTCTCACGAATGAACGAATTGTTGTTTTATTTCAAAGTAGTTAACACTCCATTCCCCAGTTGTCAGTTCAATTTGTTCCTTTCCAATCCGTGTTTAGAAAACAAATTTGTTCAAATCTTTAACAAGCCGCTCGCTTTAGATGCCTAAAGAAAACATGTAGAACTGATGGAGAGACGAATAAAAGAAACTCAAAGAGTTTTAAATCATTCAACTTATCAAAGCTGCATAGTTGAAGGAACAAAAACGTACATTATTTTACACAAAAAAGCCATATGATTGTAAATATAATCAAACTATATGGTTTACCTGAAAAAAATCATTATAAGACGGACCCAAGTGCGTTCTTTAGTCTACTTTTTTTTACAGATTCTTGAAGATCAACCTTCCATGATCAGATATCGGGTGAATTGAGGATCGGAACGAAAAAAAATAGAACGAACGACTGTAAACATATGAATATCATATGTAAGTAGCAGACTAAAACTATTAAGATCTTTTCAAATCCTCTTGTACATATTGCATAACTGGTTATCCAGCTAGGCAGAACACAGTAAGGAGTATTATAATTCACATCATTATATCTTTTCATTACCATATTGTTATCTAGTTACAATCATTTATTTTCAAGCGCACGTTCAAACGAGCCCTGAGTCCCTCGGTGTCGCGTGTTCGAATCAAGTATTGTTGTGGTAATAGTGTTGCTGTTGATACACGAATCATTATTCTAAGAGGCAGCTAAAATTACTCTGAGATAGATGGGCCCTTCCACCCATATCCGGTTTTGTCTTGGACACGTAGAAGTTCCCGAGAGTTCATTTAGATATATTCTTGGTTCTATGCCAAACCTTTGGGGATATTCACAAACTGATCAAACGTTAAGAAGAAAACATACGAATTTTTTTTTTTTACTGCTCTTATTTTTACAATATCAATGGAGAAAATCTTTCTTATCCTCTCTTTTTAAACTCCTACAACTGTAAACGTTAGTACATTTTATTCAGACCTAGTTTATTTTTTTCAATCGAAATTGGGGATCTTTAGATCTTTGGGTATCTTAGAGGGTCTTTCAGTATAACTAGAATACATAATTTGGACTGTTCTCATTTAAATTTTTGGAAAAACTGTTTCAGCGTTTTCATTTGAAAAGCTTTAAAACTGAACGAGAAGGACTTTGCTGTTCAGATGTAGGTAAGTGAGTAAGGAGAATTTTTTAACGAGGTTAACGTTACCACTGGAGCCATTGAGATTTTTATTTATGAGGAGAACAAGTGTTTTCGTTTCACAGATTTTCGAGGATTTACATCATCTTTAAAGCCTCTGTTATAGGCAAAATATGTCTTGATGAAATCTAATGAATCTAAATTGAAGTATAATTGTTTCTATCAGTACAATGAACTCAAATAAAACATCAAAGAAAAGCTTTGGAAATAATTAGCAATTTAAACAAGTAAATATCCTCAAATTATGTGGTTTATCTGATGCTATCATCACACGACGGACGGACATTTAGGAAGGTCCATTGAGATTTTTATCTTAAAGGGTAAATAGTATATTCTTTATTCCAATTTTCACAGAGTTTCAAGGGTCTACATTCCATGATAAAATATTGCCGGTGATTAGGAAAAATGAATTTTAATATCACCCTGAATGGGATGCATAAAAGCAGTGAGCTTTGAGGCTTCCTACAGATGAGAACTCAAGTTTCAACGGAGAGGTCAAAATGAAGATATCTTTTTTCTTGGCTTTGTTTTGCTTTGTACTCGCTGTTGGCTTTTCAGTGGCGGTAACTGAAAATGACTTGGCCAACATGGCAGATGAATTTGAAGCAGAAAAACTTCCAGGGTAAGTTGGATAAAGAAAAATAACTATAAATGATGACTTAAGTAACAAAATAGAGTTTACAAAGGTGCCAAATATGAGGAGTCCATCCTGTTTCTCCGGGATGAAGACGAGAAAATTAGACTGTGGCGAGAGCTGGCAGTTCCTCCAATGACACTCCATTGAGCGAGCATCGGGAACTGCAAATTAGAGCCAGGCCCTTTCCATTTTCTAGTTGTCCACTCTGTCCTTCGAAAGCAATGTGACTTGATCTTCAGTATATTTGGACAACTTATTCTATTAAAGCGTGTTAGTTCAAAATCATGAATCAGAAGTCAAATTTATAAATGAATTATTTCTGTGTAAGAGGACTCTACTTCATACTTATCGGCAACTCTGAAATGTTGCAATTGAAAAAGTGAGAACAGTGCAACTCGATCCTCTGTGTAACCTGGTCAATTTAGCTTATTTAATTTTTAGCTTTTTTGTTAGTGTTACTCGATTCCCTGTTTAACCTGGTCAATTTAGCTTATTTTATTTTTAGCTTTCTTATTAGACTTTTGAAAATGTCTGTTTTTCTTCTAAAATGATTAAATTGTGTCGTAGCAGCAATGGTTTCGTTTCACATTTTATGTTTTTAGTGAAGAATACGTGAAAGAGAGCGATAAAGACCTCGATGAGGAAAACTTGGAGGACAATGATATGACAATCCCCAGAAGGTACGTTGAGGAAATGGTTAGATTTTTAGCTTTCCTCTTAGTGTAACTCGATTCTCTGTTTAACCTGGTCAGTTTAGCTTATTTTATTTTTAGCTTTTTCGCTAGACTTTTGAAAATGTTTGTTTTTTTCCTAAAATGAATGAATTCCGTCGTAGCAGCAATGGTTTCGTTTCACATTTTATATGTTTTTAGTGAAGAATACGTGAAAGAGAGCGATGAAGACCTCGATGAGAAAGACTTAGAGGACAATGATATGGCAATCCCCAGAAGGTACGTTGAGGAAATGGTTAGATTTTCTTCTCGGATAAGGACGATAAACCGTTGGCGCCGTCTCCTACGTCTTCGTTGTACTGGATAATAGAGCACGTTAATTAACCCCAAGCACTTCTCGCAAAGGGTAGGAAACGTAGTTCCAGGTTCCTTGGTCTGGTCTTGTTACTGTTTGCACAGGTCAACATTTAGACCAGCCTGTCTAAATATCACAAGTAAATAAATGAGTGGATAAATATTTAAAGAACTAGTTCGTTTACGATTATCTTCGGCACTTCTTTTTTCCTGCACTCAGAGAAAACGATATGGCGACCGATGACGAGGAGGTTGACGAAGGACCATTCGATAATGACGAAGATGACGAAGATGATGTGGAGGCAGTAGAAAAGTCAGCTGACCCCCAACGCCGAAGTAGACTGCTCAGACGCATTCGTCGTCGTACAGCTCGCCGCTTTCGTCGTATTCCTCGTAGAGCTCGCCGCTTTCGTCGCGGTCGCCGCGTTTCCCCTGGTCGCCGCGGTCGCCGTAGTGGCCGCTCTCGCGGTAGAATACGCGGTTAACGAAGACCATATCAGTAATGAAATGAACAATGGATGGGTAAAGGTGAGTGGCAAAAAGATAAGAAATATGACTTTTAGCTCCTGATTGTTATACAAATTCTCCTTCAGGTTCTTGAGAATACATAGAGAAGAGTATAAAGAATATACATACTGATGATAGGCGGTAGATGGTTATGAGTGAGCCTCACCAGCACTTACGTTTGATTTTTCTCTTCCCTGGCAGGTCTTGATGAATACTCAGCCTAAAATGAAACGGCAAACTTGGGACTATGATTTAACAACTTTTAATGCTTCTAGAATTAAAACTTCTGTAATTAAAACTCCTCGGCTTCCGTTTAAATATAATGGGAGGTAATGCAGTAATGGTGAAAGAAAAAACTGTTATTTGCTTTAAAATCACGTCAATAAAAATTAACCAAAGTTTGCAAATAAAAGGCTCTTTGTTTTGGTTTTTGTTTTCCTGTATTTTTTCTTTTTAGTTTGATTTGCTTCTTGGATTGTGGTGGAGGTAGATTTTTTTCTCTTTTTTGTCTTTGGGTATTTGGTTACAATCATATCGCTCCAACCCTGTTTATAGTCCATTAAAAATTGCTGAAATGGTCATCGATTACCGAAATTTTTGTAAAGTAGCTTTTAGAATGAAAACACCATTTTCCTTGACTCTCTCAGTGCATTCCACAACTTTTCTGAAATCACTTACAAGCTCCCCGTAAGAAAAATAACTGGGGGAAGGGGTGAGGGTCACTTCCTAGAAAGAGGCTGATGGTGACGTGCCAATAGATGGGGTTGCAGTTTCACGACTGGATTGATTATAATGGGGTTGCATTTTGAACAGGGTTACTAGAATACGGTCCCTCATTTTCGGGAGTTTGGGGGTAAGAAAATTCTCGTAAGTAGGGATTTAAAAATGGGGTTGCGGCTTTCAACCCTTCCTTCATGGAAAATGAGATGTTCTATCGCAAAGGCTTAGTGTGTTTCTTTAATAGTTGTATAATTCAAAGGAGACTTGAGAGAAAAATTATGATTGGCAACACTTTAATCTAACTATTTCCCGAACAAGCGCACACGCTTGAGAGAGTGTCTTTGTAAGAGCGGTCCGGTCGATTTTGCTTAAGACACGGATTCGCTCATTTCTTGTGTGTTAGTTGTATATAAAGTGGTAACAGAAACAAGTTTATGTTTGACATTATGGCCCAGGGGGTGGGCGTTTATTTGGAGGAGGGTGCTTAGGAGAGTGTATCTTTAAGAACGGTCCGATCGACTTTGCTTGAGACACGGATTTCGCTCATTTCTCGTGTGTTGTAAGACATTCATGTACCTATACTAAAACCACAATCCGTTTGATCGTATCTCTTTATTTTTCAGAGTTTTACGAAAATTAAATTTCACTCGAGCGAAGGCTTGTCGTGACACTTTTCAAGACTTAATTTAAGTAAAGACAACATTGGAGGACAATTTACAAAAAACTACGGAACTCAGCAAAAACCAAATACCACAGCCATGTATATCAACTCTATCTTATCCATCGAGGCGACTTTCGTGAAAATCACGTTCCAATCAAAGAAACAGGAAGACTTGAATGACACCTTATCGGCTTGCAAAAAGTGAGGCGTTCTGAACTGATCCAACTAACATAGTTAGGAAGTAGGTGCCATAGAAAAGGTAACTACAGGAAAAAAATTTGCGGCCGGACCTTTACGAAAACTTTATAACTCCGTGAACTTACCTAATTTTTGGCAATCTCCAAGTTTGGCCGCCATTTTGAGGGACTTGTCAACATGAAGCGTAGCAGATATAAATCAAGCAGGTAGATCTAAAACCGTCAGAAATTCATACGAAAGCAATTCAAATGAACTTTACTTTCAACTCAAGCAGCAAAATTTGAAATTGTTCGTTAAACTTACCATTCCTACCTGTGCCACCCAAGCTTCGGTCACATTTATGAGGTAAACATGGCGATCCCTATCTGATCACCGTTCTTGTCGATCTGAAAATTAAAATACCAGCATGACCTTGCCTCGAAGATGAAGCAGTTATGTTATTTGATTCGTGCTTCACATTCGAGTCGAAGCTTCGAACACTAGTTGTAGTGTTTGAATTGTTGGAAGAAATGGTCGCATGGAGATGTAGGAATGGTAAGTTTAACGAACAATTTCAAATTTTGCCGCTTGAATTGAAAGTAAAGTTCCTTTGAATTGCTTTCGTACGTATTTTTGACGGTTTTAGATCTACCTGCTTGATTTATATCTGCTACGCTTCATGTTGACAAGTCCCTCAAAATGGCGGCCAAACTTAGAGAAAATTAGGTAAGTTCACGGAGTTATAAAGTTTTCGGGCCGTCTTTTTCTGCAGTTACCTTTTCTATGGCACCTAATTCCTAGCTATGTTAGTTGGATCAGTTCAGAACGCCTCACTTTTTCAAAAATTTACCTTGAATTTGATCTGTTTTGGCGTGTGTGACTTAAGCGAACCGATGAGGCGTCATTCAAGTCTTCCTGTTTGCTTGGTTGTAACGTGATGTTCACGAAAGTCGCCTCGATAGATAAGATAGAGTTAATATACATGGCTGTGGTATTTGGTTTTTGCTGAGTTCCGTAGTTGTTTGTAAATTGTCCTCCAAAGTGGTCTTAAATTAAAGTCATGAAAAGCGTCTTGACAAGCCTTCGCTCAAGAGAAATTTAATTTTCGTAAAACTCTGAAAAAATACAGAGATCCGATCAAACGGATTGTGGTTTTAGTATAGGTTCATGAATGTCTTACAACACACAAGAAATGAGCGAAATCCGTGTCTCAAGTAAAGTCGACCGGACCGCTCTTACAGAGACACCCTCTTAAGCGCCCTCCTCCAAATTAACGCCCACCCCCTGGGCCATAATGTCAAACAAGTGCCCCCCTCCAATACGAAAACCCCCCCTTCCTCTCTCACTTTTTCAAACTAGTGGGGATACAAGGAAAACTTGTTTCTGTTACCACTTTATTTACAATTTTTACGCTTCATCTACATCGGAATCAGTACAGGAGAATGGCAAATTTTCCGTTTTTTCTTTGTACCACGCTCGTGACAAGACGAAAAACATCTTTCTCTCTTTCTTTGCCGAGCACAAAACTTACCATCTCTCTTTTCCATTTACAAGTTATTTTAAGTCTAGCAACTCCCAAAATATTTATTTTCTCAGTTCGCACCGTATTAAAAGAGACGAAGATAAACATCTCACAATAATTTCAGATGACTCCTCATCGACACGTGATTAACAACAAAACTTCTCCTTGCAGAAATATCTTAATATGTGAGATAAACGCATCATGAAAACTTAGGGGGAAATTTCTCTTCCAAGAGAGGGCATCTGAATCAGTAGATCCGAAGAAATATTTTTTCACTTCTTGCCAGGACACCACACCATATCTTTCCCTGGCCATAAATGTCTTTCACGAGGCAAGATATATTGTTGTTCTCGCTGCTCTGTTTATCCTTCTCAATC